GGTTGAGTATCCAGGCTGTCCGGGGGGGAAAAGAGGGGAGGTGAGAGGACAGCCCCAGCCCTCTGTCACCATAGTAGCTTGGGGCCAGGTGTGAAGTGCCTGTCCACTGCTGCAGCAGGCACAGTTGGGGGAGAAGTGCATGACCCCCAGTAGGGAGACAGATAGTTTGTCCCTTTCTCCATTGCTAGCCCAATGGGGTTATAGCCATCCTGGTCCCTTGCTGTCCTCCTGTGGTCATTCTGCAGTGTGACTATCCTTCCTGACAAACCCCTCCCTTCCCTTTTTTTGAGAAACTATCAAATTCCAGGTACATTCCATTTTCCTGGCACAACCAAACCCTGACCTTGCTTTAAGTTATTCGAGGAAGCTGTATACCAAATTTGGTGTCTTAGCTCTTACCATGTAAGGAGAGTTCTTGAACAACTGGACTCATGTACGGATAGACAAATGGACACACGTTTCTAAAATAGTGTGTTAGTGTTATGTTTAGTTATAGGTGTAAGATATCATTTAAAATTGGTTGTGTATCAGCACTCTCCATGGCGCATAGCTTAGTAAAGAAAGTTTAAAAAAAATCTTCACTTAAGCAGCCCCAGTTCATGAGAGCGCTGAAGCTTGCACTTTTCTCAGATGAGTTGTCCCATTAAAATCAATAAAGTCCGTATTTAAAGTTAAGTACGTGCTTAAGTGTTTTGTGGAATGAAGGCTTAACTGTTGTATATTTAGTGCATATGTAATGGTTTGAATATGTGCTTGAAATTATACATAATGTTGCCAAATCAACAAAAGCATGACCAGAGTCCCTGGCTCTTTGTCAGTTAATGCCATTCTGCGAAGCAAAGTAATGTTCTAGTATTGCATTACTTCACAGTGGTCACAGAGACATATTTTTCATTCAATATGCTATTTAGTACCTGCAGTTTATCTCAACCGCTTCTGTAATTTTGTCCTGGTAACTTCCTACAATACTGGGTGGGTAGATGCATTCTTTCTTTTGAAATAGTAGCAAATACTTAATCTTCCAAATGACCCATTTATCTTGTCATGCAGTTTTCTCTTAATGTTGTTTGTTGGATATATGTTCTCACCACCATGGAAAAACATAGTTTCATAAATGGCTTCCAGTGCATTATCTATGCATTTTTTTTAAATACAAATTGCTTGTATTTGTGAGTTAAATCATATTGTTCAGAATAATAGTTCATGATGAAGTAATTGAAGGCAGCAGCAACCACATGTGAATTTTGACAGCTCTTTAGGGAAGATGGGATTTATCTTCTGTCTCCATTTTTAGCATAGTGTGGTCCAGTACATATAAAGAAAAATAAATCAAATGAATGTCTTTTGTGTTTTCTTAATTGTTAGCTGCTTGGAAAATTGAGCCAGGTAAACTTGTAACTTTTTAAACATCATTCAGTCCACAGTTGCTCTGTTACTGCTCATTTAACCGCTTTAAGTGCATGATGACTCAAAATCAGCTGGCTCCACTACAGCACATTTTTCATTGTCAAAGTATAGATATTTTCAGCTTAGTGGGGAATCCCAACAGGGCTGCATGGCTTTTTCTGTTTGCCTGGCAAAAATGTTCAGATCCTCATGCTCCCAAGATTGAATTACTCAAAGTTCATTCATAGAAAAACCGACGCTTTATGTTTGGAGAGTCATCACTTGCCAGCTCATCTAACATTCACTAACTGTAGCTGTTGTTCCTCACAGTTCCTCATATTAGACACGCCAATTAGACACTGAATAGATTTGTTTTTTTTCTAGATGGCACTTCATATGCTGTGAATTTGTCAAGACAACTTAATTAAGAATTTGAGTGAGTGGTCTCTTGATACTGCAAAGAGGTGGTGAAGTCAAGTAATTAGGAGAAGAATTTGTAATTTTAAAACTTTTGCTTATGCTTTTCAGTGCCAGTTTCTAGTTTAGTTAAATGCTACATTCTTCCATGAAAATATATGTAAAAATAGATGAAGGTGGATGTTTCTGTTTTGGTTAGCACTTTTTTTTATTCCAATTTGTTAAACCCTTTATTTAAGCAAGGAGAAAATGAGTAATAGATTAAATACATATGATGAAAAGATATTTTGACTGGGAAGACTTAACGCACAATTAAATTTTAGATATTTTTTATTATTTAACTTCTAGCATTGGCCAAGGTAGAATTTGCTCTGATAGCTAGTTGGTACTAACATCAGTAATTTGAGGATCTGTAATCAAAGATTTTTAAGAGCTTTGAATGTTGTTTGTAATGAAAGAACCATATTGCTTACAAAGGAGCCTACTCTTTATTAAGGTAGTGGAGTTGGTGGGGTTGCTGACTACAGAAAATACTTCATATTGAAGAGGGAACTGCTAAAGGGAGGCATTCAGGTTATTATAAATTATATCTAGGTTATCTTAAAGAAAATAATTTAGAATTTAATTAATTAGTAAACTACTTAAACTGTATGTTTATAATAATTAGGCTGTGTCTAGACTACATTGCTCTTTCGACAGAGGGATGTAAATTAGACACTTCAAAAGTGCAAATGAAGCAGGAATTTAAATATCCTGTACTTCATTTCCATAATCACGTCATGGCGCTTTTTTGAAAAAGTGCCATTTGAAAGTAAAACCGCAGTCTAGAAACGGTTCTTTCGAAAATGGCAGGCTTTTTCAAAAGATCCTGTACTGAGTTTTCAAAAGAACCACTTCTAGACCACGATTTTACTTTCAAATGGCTTTTTGGAAAAAGTGCCATGATGGAATTATGCAAATGAGGTGCGGGATATTTAAATCCCCACTTCATTTGTATTTTCGAAGTGTCTAATTTACATCCCTCTGTGGAAATGTTGACTGTGTGTTACTTTTTAGTCTAGGGTCCACGTTAATAGCTTCTGTATTTACTAATGCAATCAAATTTTAAATCCACTTAGTCTGAAAGTTTAAAATGGCTTCTGATATTTCAGTCTAATACACAGACTAAGGGAGAAGAAACACTTTTTAAATAAGAGCGATTTTTTTTTGGTTTGGTTTTTAAAAGGATGCAATGTTGACTGTGTGTTACTTTTTAGTCTAGGGTCCACGTTAATAGCTTCTGTATTTACTAATGCAATCAAATTTTAAATCCACTTAGTCTGAAAGTTTAAAATGGCTTCTGATATTTCAGTCTAATACACAGACTAAGGGAGAAGAAACACTTTTTAAATAAGAGCGATTTTTTTTTGGTTTGGTTTTTAAAAGGATGCAAAATTAGCAATACTGGTTTGTTACAATGTATAAGATTAGCAATCCCAAGGTAAGAAAAGTGCTCCAACCTATCAGTTACTTGAAGAAGCTGTCTGCTGGGTGAATTCAGTAACCTCAATAGTTGCCATCAAGAGCAAAGGTGACTGAAGCTGGATTTTAGCAATTGAATGCTGTTTTTAACTGTGTATTTGATGTGACAGTATATCTTGCATCATAATCAGGGTATAGAAACATAACTGAAGACCAGAGAATACCTTACCCGGGAGCTGAAGCAAAATGCAGGACTATGTAGCACTTTAAAGACTAACAAGATGGTTTATTAGATGATGAACTTTCGTGGGCCAGACCCACTTACCCGGGAGGAGTGCTGTGGAGGAAATTAGGTTGGTTGGCAGGATGATGTGAGCAGATGATCGCATTCGGGAGAAGGGTGGAAGCAGAGGATATTAGAGTAATTTGGGGCAGTTTATGTGGCAAAGAAGGGTTGAGTTTTAGAAGCTTTTGATAAAACAATGTTGTCATTGCTTGAGCTATACCAAAGACATTAATTTGGAAGACATTTATTATTTTGACTCACACTAATTGCTAATTGCTGACTCTAGTGACTATAATCTCAACAAACATTAAGAGCTGAATGGCTTATTTAACATTTGATATTGCACAGAGCTCTGTTGTGCTTGGTGAATTACAAACACAATCAAATAATGTGAACATTGAAATATAAGGTTAGAAGAAGTTGAGGAGAAGAACCTAACACTTGCTGGGGAAAAAGCATACAGGCACCCATGCACCTGGTCATGAGTAGGGCTGTCAGCAACTAGTCTACCATCTGATAAGCAGAAGCTTATTGAATAGTCAACTAGTGATGCAACTAGTTGCTTCCCCCAACTTGCTGCCTCTATCAGAGAGAAGTAATAGAGATGTAGCTGTGTTAGTCTGACCTTGCTGAAACAAAAGACAGGACTATGCAGCACTTTAAAGACTAACAAGATGGTTTATTAGGTGATGAGCTTTCGTGGGCCCGACCCACTTCCTCAGATCAAATTCTGGAAGAGAATTGGCATGACCATATATCATGAGAGAGGCAGCAAGGGGTGGAGAGGAGCAGGAGCCAGTGCTGGGGAGAGCCAGTTCCCCCCAGCACTATCTTTACAAAGGGTAGGTGAGGTAGAAGCACAGTGGAAATGGCGCGAGCGGAGACAGAACCAGTCTCGGCTTGTGCCGCTTTTGCTGCAATTCTGCTGGGCTCTTGTATATTTCAAAGGTTTGGGTGCCACAGGGAGCGCGGGACCAGCAGGGGAGGCTATGGGGCTTCCTTTCAAAGGCTGAGGCGCCCTGCTGGCCCTGTGCTTATGGGCCTAATGGGGCTCTTGTATATTTCAAAAGGAAGTCCTGTGCTCCCTGCGACTAATTGAAGGAAACCTTGTGGTCCCTGCACCCTTATAGACTAATTGAATAGTTGATGGAAATCTCATTGACTGTTTGATTAGTTAATGATTCTAAATTTAACATCCTGAGTCATGAGGCTTAAGGCAGGAACAGTTGAGGTTGGTGAATCTCATTGGTTCTGAATAATGAAATGTAGTTTTACAAATTTATGGTTCATGAAAATACTAAAGGTCCAAAAAAGGGACTAATTTGCAGTCTGTGACTTGAAGCCATTTACAATTTCAATGTGCTATGACATCTGGTGTGATCTATGCTATTATGTCTTTCCTACAGTGTGGTTCTGCAACAAAAATAGTTTTCCTCTCTTTTTAATATAGATTGGGGGGTGCTGCAGTCTTAATGTCTTTTCTGTGCGTGACAACAGATTATCTCGAATTCCCTCTGAGATTTCACAAGCCACTGAACTGCACGTCCTGAATGTAGCTGGAAACAGGTGAGAGGATTTTATTGTGTCCTGTTGCTGTACTGGTTTTGCTTCAGCATATGGATTGATATTTTAGAATGAAGCAGCAAAAGAGCTTATACTCCAGTTTCACTAATCCCAATATGGTGAAATTGGCAATATGTTCCTGCCCTCAGGCCAAATGTAATTCCGAACCCTGCCAATACTGAGCACAATTATTTGTGTCAAAACTATCTCTGTGACAAATACACACAAAAATATTTTGCAATCATGACTTTCAAATATTCTTTATCCATGAACAGAAAAGTCTCCTAACCTTTTCATTTGATGTATTTCTGACTTGAAATTAAAACAAAAGAGCTCTTGGCTTCAGGTCAAGTCTGGTGAATTGAATACCTGAATTAATTCCAGATGATCCTTCTGAACAAAGAGTTTGACAATCAGGTTATTCATATACATGTTAAGGCAACTGAAGTTACACTTCATCAGCATAAAAACTTGTTTTACTAATCTCAGTCATGCAGAGTTGTTTTCGGTTAATTTATTTGTATTGTTTCACACATAGAGGCCCTAACAAGAAACTAGGGCTCCATTGTGGCTGATACGGTACACGCACAATGAAAAGACATTAACTGCTTCAAATTTCAGTATAAGCATAATGAGAAACAGCTAGATAGAACAGATAGAGGTAAAAGGTTTAAAGTGAGATGGTTAGCCCATTACTGAGTCATCTCTGTTGTTTCTTGAAATCAAACCACGAGTGTGTGTGTATGGTTGCAGTTGGTTCCCACATTGATTTATTAAGTCTCCTAGAAACTAGCATGAAATTTCAGACTTACCATTTCTTTTTAAATTAGGCTGATGCATCTTCCTCTGTCACTGACTTCCTTAAAGCTGAAGGCTTTGTGGTTGTCTGATAACCAGTCCCAGCCTTTGCTGATGTTCCAGACTGACACGGACCCTGAAACTGGAGAGAAAATTTTAACATGTGTATTACTTCCTCAAATGCCTTCTGAGCCCAGCTGCCAAGGTATGGTTCACTTCAAAAATCATTCCTACACACAGCACAACTGTCATCTTTAAAAATCTGTTATCTGGTATCTTTCTTATAGTGTTGTGCAACAAACTTTAGTTTATCATTTTCATTTAAAAATATCAGTTAATCATTCATAACGGTCCACATTTTAGTTGTTTGCTGTTAAAGAGTTTCTCTTCTGGCTTTCACTCTTTACTGTCTCAAAAGATTTTTAACTCCAGTGGTGAGCTGGTAAGTAAATTGACTTGCCTGCCTTCTACAGACTTATTTAATGAAAAGACAAAGACAAAGAAGTAAACATCATAACCTTGTTTTCCCCCCCGCACCCCCCGCCTGCCCCGCAATCCATGAGCATTCAGAAGTTTATATCTCTTTTTCAAACTTGTGTTTGTAGCTGTCAAACATTGTTGGACAGTTAAAAGTTGAAAAGCTCTGAATCATGACTGGAAAGATCAACGTGAATTAATCGCACATGTCATAAGCAATAAGCATTTGCACTCAAATAAGTTTCTGCACAGTATTTACATTATCGTCTTAAAAAAATAGGTGAGAGATTGGTGGGGTCAGTTAAATTACCCCACCTGTGTAGCTAATTCCTTCCGTGCTCAGGTGAGTGTTAAAGCCTGTTGCAGTAATTTCTGGATTGCTGCTTCAGTAGTTTGTGAAGGTTTGAGTATGCGTCCCAAGGTGTACAAGCTATGTATTGGTACTCAAGTACTATAAAAACAACAAGGAGTCTTGTGGCATGTTAAACACTAACGGATGTGTTTGGGCATAAGTTTTTGTGGACAAAAGACCCACATTATCAGATGTGCATTTGACAAGGTGGGTCTTTGCCCACGAAAGTTTGTCTAAGCACTTCTGTTAGTGTATAACTTGCCACAGGACTCCTCGTTGTTTTGCAGATACAGATTAGAATAGGCCAAAAGGGTAGCCATGGTACACTGGCAAGTTTTGTCACCAAAACTTTTTTGACAGCGGAACCTGGGAGCGTTCATAATGCAATGTGACACAAGTTGTGACAAGTGCCCAGGTTTAGTGACAAGCTACGAGAGGGACTTTATCTCGTCTCTTCTCCTTTTACTGACGACAATAATGCAGCATGTACTAGAGCAGTGTTTCTCAAACTGTGATCCACGGAGCCCTGGGGCTCTGCGAGACATTTCCAGGGGCTCTGCGAGGTTGACAAACTGGAAACATCGATAGGTACAATCAGTGGACCGCTGGGGCTCCGCATAAATTTTTATGCATGTAAAGGGCTCTGGAGCCCAAAAAGTTTGAGAACCGCTGTACTAGAGGTTTTTTTGTCAAGTTTTTTGTCCAGTATGTTTCCTACAATGCCCGATTAGTCACTCTGGTCAGCGCTTTGAACTCCGCTGCTCTGTACCCAAGTAAACAGATAAACAGTTGTGCCCCTCCGACCTGGGAATTTTAAAAGCGATTTCCAACAGATATAGGAGTTCACAGCAAAGATTGTCATTCAAGTGGTATGAAAGTAAGCTGGAAGCCTAGGAAGGTTGGGACGCAAAGAGGGGGCTGACGGGACATTTTTCACGTTCCCAAAATGCTTAGCGCTATGTTATGTGTTTCCATAATGCTTAGTGACTGAAGGTGATGCCAGGCACTGTAGCATACTTATCCACATTGCTTTGCTCTTTCTATCAATGAGTGAGCTAACAATGTGGCCATGGTACGTTGACATAGGGTGGCAGAAAGACACGTTTGGTGAGTTTTCAGTTTTGGCGACATTTGCATGTTGACAGCATTTTTATGCCAAACCTTTCCAGTGTAGACATAGCCTTTGATTCAAGTACTATGGTGATTAGGAACAAATAAAAAGCTTAGTGTTGTCAGCTTCCACAATTTTATTGTGATTCTCTGTATTTGGTGCCTGTATTTGGCGCATAGATTACTTGAGAATCGTTTTCATTTAAAAACCAGAAAACAAAACGCTCTAGTGCCCATCGTTGCAAGGACAAAGATTGAAAATGTGAATCCTGAAGTCTAAAAAACCAGTAGGCATATAAAAAACTCCAATATCTTATTTGTTTGGATTTAAAAATCATGATTTTTTAAAAAAAGTGATGGTTTTTAAGAGCCCGACTGTTTGTTTTTTTTAAACTTGGGGATGGCAGAAGTGGAATCTAGATAGGCATTCCAGGCTGATAAGAGAAGGGGGTTTAGGCATGCTGGTGTGGAGGGGTTACTGATGGTCACCATCCACTTTCCTGCTAAGACCACATTTCCTACTACATCTCTTGTTTATGCAGGTTCAGCTTTTTGGATTACAAGCATCTCATCCAGTTGTTTAATATGACATGTAGCCAATGATGGACAATTGACAAATGATGTGCTATTATCTGTTGATTAGCTATAAATCTTTTGTCTTATTTCTAAGTTAGATTGTTAATCCAAAAGTGTAGAATATATGTGCATGGTTAAAATTCATATAATAAATGCTTGATAATGGAAAAACTGCTAGCTTTAATAAAATTGCTTGTCTGAGTGAGTGGTCAGTAGAACTTTTGTGTGGGATGAATAGATAATTAGGGCTTCTGACTTTCAGTTTTAGCTGATAACACTGCCAGTACAAATAAATGAAATCTGGTGTTTATCTAGTAAACACTGGAAAAAAGTTAGAAGTGGTTACTTGTATTTACTGACTTGTTTGCATGGAATACTGAGGCAAACAAGGATGTGATGTGTAAAATTCATATTGCACAATAATTGGTCTGTGTAAGGTGCTGGAGTGCACTAAGGTTTCCTAGTGCATTTTAATGTAGTGCTATTTGAAACAATACTAAGATAAAGTGCATTAAGTAATATTACCAAGAGATTACCCATTACAGTAGGACACATTGGAACAATGCAATGAGTAATATATATTATATACAAGGAACCACAAACCCTGCACAAAGAAATTAATAAACCCCAAAGCCCTAGTAAGTATATGTTAGCATACTGTTCTCTCTTGAGAAGGTTCAGTTTTGTTTGTTTCCATTATAACAGATAATCTGCCCCGGTGTGGTGCATTTGAGAGCTTGGTAAATGAAATGTCAGATGAAACATGGAATGAGCGTGCAGTAAACAGAGTCAGTGCAATCCGCTTTTTGGAAGATGAAAAAGATGAAGAGGATAGTGAAATGGTATGTTTCTCTCACACGCTGATAGACATGTAGTGATTAAAATGCAAAAGAGTAAAAAAGTGTTTGAAATATCTACATCTTGCATTAAACATTTTTAACAATAGTAGCAGTCTTTTTATATAAATACCTATAGCAGAGCTGTCAAACATTGGCTTCATAGGGGTTTAAAAAGACTTTTTAAAATTTTGTATTGCTTATCTGCTTACATCAAATATAACTTTCAGTTCTGCTGAAACAAGACTGTCTTACTGTGAAAATTTTAGTCTTTTTTTGTTTTCTTTGCTTTATTTCTTTAGGATGGTTCCTTCCACTTTTCCAAAAAGCAGGCTTAGGAGTAGGGTTTTCTGCAGTATGGAATGTGTAAGCCTTTGACTCTGTGTCCTTTAGGCAGTAACTCTGACACCATGACATGGGTTCACATTAAATTTTCTACCCTCCTATCGTGTTGTCTTGTTCCCCCACTTTCATTACCCCTCCATCTCATGACCATGTGTATTGACACCAACATAGTGTCCATAATCGGATGGCATGTAGCACATTGGTGCATGCTGTGTATGCTGTTTCCCACTCAAATGAACGAGTATATTGGGAGCATCTGTCACTGTACTTGTGAGACCTCCATTAAATGGTCATTTCACACTCCTTGGAGATAAAAAATGTGAGGTGACCTTTGAAGTAAAGCCCTCTTCTCTAATGCCTTTGCTTCACTAACAGCAGCTAATTGTCGGTATTCAGACTTTTAGAGCCAAATTTTCAGCACGCCTCTGTGTCCCCACTAAACATGATGTTTATACCAATTTTGCATGCACGTTTTCAGACACGTGCTGAAGCTTTAGCCTTCAGCCTTAATTTGAAGTGAGTCTGCATTAAGCAAATCTAAAATCTCCAAACATGGGGAATTTCAGATTTATACTTGAGTTCAAGAACATCTTGGATGTAGCACTCCAGACATGCTAGCAGTATGGATTTATTCTGAAAAGTGACTTTAACAATCATTTCCCTATCAAATATGTCTCCTTACAAGCATACAGATATTTTCCTTACTGCCATCCCTGTAATTTGATCTGGGATCTGATAAACCAGAGTCTGTCTGATAATCCAGAGTAGTCCTCAGAACTAGGAGTAGTGTTTAGCAGACTAGTTTAGTCCCTTTGATATGTGCCAACAGTGTTTGCCAGGTGTTGGTTTCCACATGTGTAGCTGATGGAAACTTAGTAAGCAACTTCTGGGAATGCACAAGAAGGAATATGCTCTAGTTTACTTTCCTTCAGTTGTGTAATGTGTAGAGGACTAATTGGAGTAAAGAGTAGTAAAATTAAATTGGGTCACTGAAGGCAGCATATGTGATTGGGGACATTTTGAGTAAGATGTCACTTTTCATAACTGAACCACATCAAGTTGTGAAATAAGAATTTTTAACTAAACTGAAAACTTTTGCATCTTATGACTGATTGACTTGTAATGAACTGGGAACAGCAGGCATTTTGAAACACTATTAAAATTCAAGTGCAAGATATTACTTGTGGATCTACAGCCTCTAATCAGTCCACTTTTGATATTAGAAAAACCTTTTTTTAATATAAATCAGTCTGTGATCCTGCCAAAAAAGTGTTTTATCCAGCTAGTCATCAGCTCCCAGAGTATGCCCTTTGTAGGTCATCAGTGGTACTGTGATAATGTAAAGCACATACATAAATTATATACACCTGCACATACATTCATGCTGCTACAGTCAGCATGATATAGAATTTTAAAAGAAAGTTTAAACTTTGTCCAATTATGCAAGTAAATTTTATCTTTTCATTTAGCTTTTGTCAACTTTCCTTGAACATATGCTAACATCCTTCTCTAGAAATGGAACCAAATTACTGAAAATAGACTTTTGG